AACTATCAAATTATTTTAGGACATGGCTCCAGTAATTTGCAATTAACATACCAAATTTTGCAACTGTCTTATGAATAATTTGCAACTCCTTCTCAAAATTTTGTGTGGAATAACTTTTGAATGCTTAAACTTGCAAAGCTATCAAATTATTTTAGGATATGACTCCTGTAATTTGCAACTAACATACTAAATTTTGAAACTTTTTTATGAATAATTTGCAACTCATTCTCAAAATTTTAGATGAAATAACTTTTGAATTCTTGAACTTACAAAGCTATCAAATTATTTTAGAATATGACTCCAATAATTTGCAACTAACATACTAAATTTTGTAATTTTCTTACAAATAATTTGCAACTCCTTCTCAAAATTTTAGGTGGAAGAACTATTGAATTCTTGAACTTGTAAAGCTACCAAATTATTTTAGAACATGGCTCCAATAATTTGTGACTAACATACCAAATTTTACAACTTGATTATGAATAATTTGCAACTCCTCGAAATTTTAGGTGAAATAACTATTAAATTCTTGAACTTGCAAAGTTACCGAATTATTTTAGTACATGGCTCCAGTAATTTGCAACTGACATATCAAATTTTGCAACTGCCTTACAAATAATTTGCAACCTCTGTTCAAAATTTTAAGATAACACACTTTTAGTGATTACAGAAGATATGAACTGTACATATAAGCTACATGTATTAATTCATCTAATGCATCTGCACATATCAATTGTCCATATACACAAAAGCATGAACTTAGGTTTATAAAAGAGGGGTTGCTATGTACGAAAAAAATTCCCTAATACTACCAATATATATGTACAAAAACCTATATATGTTAACCAAATCTAACTTGATCTAAAACTACCTATATATGTATATCACCCAAATTCAAGTTCATGTGGTAACCCATTTACAATAACATCAACTTGGATTTGGATTTCTACACCTCTTCTGTGTACGACCTGCTTTATGACAATGAGAACAATGGTAAACCTTCTTTTGTTAATATTGAGACTCAATCTTCACATGACCAGGTTTGCCAGCTGATCAAGATGTTCTAAGAGGCAGCAAAAAGGTTTGGTTTATGAGCTCAGATACTGTCAATGCATTTGGCTTTGACATCTCATGGGTCTCAACATGATGCATAGTGTCATTGTATATTTTCTCCTATGAGTTACGAAAATAACATTCATCGACATAGTTATACACATTACCTTGTACTTCTTTAATGGCTGTACAAGCATGTGGGCAAGGAATGCTAGACATTTGCCAAACTTTGCATGTACATTTCCTTAGTATCAGATTCACACATATATGTCCACATGGTGTTCGAACCAATGCAATATGTAAGCCATACAGCTGAACTATCGTAACTTCTGCCTTTAAAATATTTTCCTTCAACTTTGCTTTAACATTTAGACCAACTATGCTTTTCCACTTACTCATGGCTACCTTACTTGTAAAAAATTTCTTGCTCAACTTGTCTTTATGCTCATTTATAAGAACACATATTATGCCTCCTCTCCTTAAGAATTCATGCATTGAATGATTCGGCCAAGTTGGTTGTTATGTTATCCCATCTTTAAAATGAGAACAATGATAGTGCCCACCGATCAATATCGCCTTGATTTTCAACCCATCTTGCTAATTGTGGAGAGAACATCCTCAAATTTCTCGTGGCTATACGAAATTCATGCTTATGCCTTGCATAGGCAATGTGATCAAGCAATTTTAGTGCCTTTTCTTGCTGTTCCTTCCCATTCCCCTACAAACTTTGTTAAACTCAAAGCTAAAATTTTTCTTAACATATCAATAGCAAAATGCATGTCTATCACCACCAAATATGGCTCTAACAGCACCAATAATACCATTATTTCTATCAAAAACAATAGTTACCTATAGTGAACTAAGGATATCTTTAATATTTTACAGAAACTAAGTCTAATCATTGTGAGTTTCACTACCAACTATTACAAAAGCTAATGGAAACAACTTATTATTGGCATCGTATGTTAAAGCTACCAGTAAGGTGCCTCGATAAGGACCACAGAGAAAACATCCACCACATATAAAATAGGCCTAGTCTCAAGCAAGAATCTTTTGATGGAACAACCATATGCAATAAATAAACATTTAAATCTATTGTTTTCAGAAGTCACCCATTTTGCTACAGTGTTAGCATCAGTCTTTATTAGTCTATTACACAACCAAGAAACAAGCATATATGATTGGTCAGGAAGCCCATTTATTTCTACTAATGCCCTCTCTTTTACTCTTAAAGCTTGATGATAAGTTAGACTTATGCCATAGTCTCTATATATGTCAGCTTTAATTTCATTGGGTCTTTTTTCCACATTAGACCTTACTACGTCATCAATTATAAATGAAGTTAGTCTGCACCTTGTACTGTAAGAAACTTCAAGGTCTTTTTGGGCAGAATGTAAGTGCTCATTTTTGAAAGTTGTTACACAAAGTAAGGGCATTGACTTCCTTAATGAGTATGCTGTTATCTTCTACTGACATCCTTTTGCCTTGCAAACTGTAATTATTTTATTTGTGTTATTCTTCACAAATTTATATTCAAACCTGTGTGTAATACTATACTTGTAGATTGCTTGTCTACAATTATCAGCACTCGCAAAAATTTGCCCAGGTGCTACTAGCAAATCCTTCCACTTTGTTGCATTTAGCTCAGGCATTGGTGTTGGGATACTTTATATTGTACATGGTAGAACTTCAAGATCTTGTGTAGCATGTGAATTCCCAGCTGAACATCCTGCTCTGCATTTCCATTCAAATCATGTTTATTACTACCATTCATATTCATATTAGCATAATATTAATCATGCAACTATTAAAAAAACTTACCCATCAATTAAATCTCTTGTTGCCTCTGTACTTTGCTGTATCTTCTCAATGATGTACACATGAGCAAAATTATCATTCAATTTCATTAATTGATTTATCCCTTCGGTCTAAAAAAAGCATTACAATCAAACTTTACTATGTACTTCAACTCTATTCCATTTAAATCACAATTCAAGCATGACGAAATCAATCTAATAAGTCTTTCAAGAGACATTCTTTCTCTAATCATTCTTCCATTACAACTCCCCCCATCATAATGCATTATCCCATACATATCTTTTACAATATCTCTACCAAAATGAAAATAACAAAAGTTTTCCTTAAAACAACTACTTTCCATCGTACTCAATAATATCAACCTACAATAAACAAAATAAAATGTAATAATATATCACTTAGAAATAAGTTACTTTTGACATAAGTGATTTTTGCATCAGTGAAACAGTGACAGCGTTCCATCTTAAAATATGGACACTTGATGATAAATTCTTACACTTTCAGTTGCAAAATGTCGAATCTTCATGTCAAATCTTTAGAAACGTGAAATAAAAAAAATCTTTCATGTTCAATTGCAATAAATCGTTCTATCTTTTTTCTTACGAGATCCATTTTGTAAGAAATCAGACTTTAATAGAGTAAACTTTTTTGTTCAGATGCAGGGATTTGGAAAAAAAAAAAAAGACACACCTGCTTAAACGCACCAGTACAACTCCTTGAGCTTCCTTGAGTTAATAATTGAGGCAACTCCACCTCTTCCAAGCACAACTCTATTTTAGGAATGGATATTCTTCAATGTGCAACCCTACCACTTACATGTAACTCTCATTAATGGCGGGAAAGAGACAAATCAGGAGGAAAATGCTGGAGCTGATGAATGTACATGTTATATTTAATCATAGGGGCATTTTCATCATTTCTTTCATAAGTCTGATTTTTGAAAAACATGAGATTTCATTGACTTTTTATAATTTCTTGAAACTTAACTGGTATAAAATTAATTTTTGAGAATTCATTATCATTTTTCCTAATTTTTGCCCCATCCAATGAATCAAGAAAGATGGTTGAGGGATGCAAAAAAGAAGAGAGAGAGAGAGAGAATCATAAAGTCACGTCAAGTTGAAAAGTTAAAAGAGAGTTGAAGAAGTTGGAATTTTCAAATTATGCCAAAACGTGATTACAGGCTTCTTAATCAATTAATCAGTTGGTAAAAAAAAAAAAAAATCAGTTATTCAGAAATCTGGTGCTTGGCTAATTTTCATTTCAAAATCAATTATCACCTAAAAAGTCAATTTTCTGCCATATCCAAATAGGCACTATATTAACTAGAACACCAATCTTTCAATTCACTGACATGTTAACTCGATTTGAATTTTAATACCGTGAAAAACTCAATATATATATATATATATATATAAAGATAGATGCAATTTAAATATATATGTATGTATGTATGTATGTATACATGTATGTATGTGTATTGATCACAATAAAAAAATAAATAAATTTTCTTAAAAGTTCAGGTCAAAGATATTAATTAATAAATAGGATGTCACATTGTAGATAGTGAGTTAGGTATGAGGAGCTTTGAAATTGATGTATTGATTTAAGATTTACTATTTATTAAATCATTTGAATGTTTCCAATCGATTTCATGTACTTTTTATCACGGCCAATTAAACAAAAAAGTTCAAATCTACGAACTGGTAGATAATATTAATTTCCATAAAAATATAAATATATTTTCCCAAAATCACAAACAAATAGTTCGACAAGTGAATAAACAATATCAAAAAATCGTAATATCTCTCATTATTTTTTTCATTTGCTTGATAGAATTTGAGATAACTATCTCTCAGTATCTTTTGGGTCAAAATTAGCTTGACGGTATTAAAAGACACTTCCTTCAAAACAAATTCTTCAGCAAAACTTGCCGTTTAATTCTTAAAAAACAAAAATTAACTCTAAAAGTAAGCTTGTTCCTTTTTTTTTTTTTAAACTTAGACAATAATATTTTATATCATTTGCTAATTGATTAGGTGAATCTATTACGTAAGTATATAGATAATAATTTCTCTTATAAAAGATCCGCACATCTGATAATCTTCTTCGTCATTTTGCTCCTCACACCTACTATGCTAACTCTATCAAAGAACACTGCAAATATGGATTCTCCTCTCCTCCATGAAATCAAAAAGCAAGCTTCTTTCTTCTTCAAGGACAAGATCAAAACTGCTAGGTTAATATTGACAGATGTTACTCCAGTTGAACTGTGAGTTTTCATTTGTATGATCTCTTTCCTTAAATTCCGCTCCTTCGATATATTTTTTTCCCCTTATTTGAGTTTCTGATCTTTCTCTGCAGAAGAACAAAAACCCATCTTATGATACAGTAATGAGATAATAGAAGCTGTTCCTATTAATTATTGTTTCAACATGTAGATAACTAGTTAATGAAATAAGTTGATTTTGTATTATTTTTTATTCTTGATACGTTTCACTCACTGTTTCATTGTTATATGAGGGTTTAGAATGACAGAAGAAGCTACTAGTGAAACTCCCTGGCCTCCAGAGACTCGTACCATGGGAGTAATATCAAGAGCGGCCTTTGAAGTTGATGATTATGAGAGAATTGTGGAGATTTTGCATAAGAGGTGTTTACTTTTCTTTAACAAAATAATCAACTAATTTTGTTTTTGTTTTTGTATTATTATTTGCATATCTGAGGTATTCGGTATTATCGGGCTAGAATGGAGCTTTGTCCTTAGTCTTAAAAAAGAGTAATTATTCTAATGTGATTTTTTCTATTTACATGATTTGAATCTACAATTTTGTTTAAGATGCATTCAGTCCTCATGACTCAATTCAATTATAGTTTTAAATATTGAAAAATATCATTTTTTTTTTGGTAATTATAAGGAGTAGGCTCTGCTTGTAGCAAAAAATGTCTCCTCAGAGGAGGTATTGAAAGCAATTGGTAGATCTCTTCTAACAAAAATTGCTACATATAATTTGAACTTTCAACCAGTTGTTTAAGTATCAAAAAAAAAAATAATATCATTTTTAACTATCCCTTTTCAGTGTTCATAATTGTCCAATCAGTTAATCATGGGTATATATATGTAGATAATCTCAGAATGTAATTTTTCATTTTTCGGATAAGTAAATATATCAATTGATAAATAACATTGTATGAGATTACATTTCCATTAACAGAATGAACAATAAAATAGACGAAATAACCAAGAAGGGTGATCATTGTATTGCAACTTGTAAGACGCATTTGCAACTTTGCGCATGACTTGAAGCTGACAGAGTATAGGCAATTTTATTTTTGGCGATCACATTTTTTAAAAACTTTAATATCCATTTATCTTGATTTGATTAAGCTTGTTCTTAATATCTCAAGAACTATGTTCTTAAAAGTTTCATCTGATGTTATGGGAAAATAGGTTGCAGAAATTTGATAAAAGCAAATGGAGAGTCTCATACAAAGCTCTGATTCTTCTGGAACATCTTCTAACTCATGGACCTCTAAGAGTATCTGAGGAGTTTCAGTGTGATGAAGACATTATCAAAGAGATAGGACAATTTCAGTACATTGATGACAGAGGGTATATATACATACATATATATATATATATATATATATGCAACAATTCTCAAATGATGCCACTGTGATGATTTGACTTATCACAATTTTATTGCAATGAACTTAACTTGGTGGTGACCCATGTAATGGTATTTTCATTTCACAGGTTCAACTGGGGCATGAGAGTTAGAAAATTATCAGAGAGAATAACAAAGCTCCTGGAAAACAATGAACTTTTAAGAGAGGAAAGAGCAAGAGCTCGAGAACTTTCTCGAGGTATCGAAGGCTTTGGAAGCTTCAGCAATCGTACTTCTGCCGTCAATGGAAACTTCACTGCCTTGCCTTCTAAGAAATATAAAAAATGTAATTCTTACTGTGGTTTCCCTGAAAGTGAGGGATATGGTTTCGTGAGCTTAGACAAGAAACTAAGTATTGCAGATGGAAACTTGGAAAAGCAACAAGTTCACAAAAACATGGACGAGAAACTCCTAAAGCAAGAAAACAAGGCAAATTTCGGAGAAGACTTTAAGATTGATCATCCCTTTGTAGAACAAGAGAACTTCACTCAGACATCTTTGCTTTCTATGTAACATATCATGTGCATGTAAATAGTTTGGCGTATGACTTGTGATCCATAGTTCTCAGCTCCTAAATTATAGCAAGTGGTTTTGGTGTATGGCTTGTGATCCATACAGTTCCTAAATTATAGCATGTAAGTAGTTTTGGTGTATGACTTGTTATCCATATTTCTCAAGTCGTCATGGTTCATAATAATAGGTAAAAGAATCAAATTTTTCTCTAGCGTCATATGGTGCATTTGGATTGAAGAGATTGAAGAATAAGTAAAATTTCAAAGACATATAATGCTAAATTGGAACATTCAAAAAGGAAAAACAAAAACTCCTCATCTTAAAGTCATCATTCTAACATCATATCATAATAACATGAAACCACAACCAAAAAACTAGAATGAAAGAGCTGCAAGATGCACTTCTTCCCGAGGAATGTGACAGTGGTCTCCTCCTTCAATAACCCTATTCTGAAACATTCTAGAAGCATTTTCTATGCACAATTGATGGTCCAGACTCATCGTACTCTGCCTTCGCAATCCACATCTACACTCAAAAACAATGTTCCATTACCGATCATATGGAAGCAACTCCAAGAATTCCAAGTAACAGGCAAGAAAATAAAGAAGAGAACAAACCTGTTGGAAGGTGCTGAGAGATGCCAAGATAGACCCACCAATCCAGACACTGTACTTTCTCTCAGGTGGTGCTACAACCTTGATCTTCATGCTGCTTGGGGCCAATGCAGAAATCTCTTTGCTCATTCTATCAGCAATGCCAGGAAACATGGTTGAGCCTCCAGAGAGGACAATGTTACCGTACAGGTCCTTCCTGATGTCAACATCACACTTCATGATGGAGTTGTATGTTGTCTCATGAATACCTGCTGCTTCCATTCCAATAAGGGATGGTTGGAACAGCACCTCTGGACATCTGAATCGCTCTGCACCAATGGTGATTACCTGCCCATCAGGCAACTCATAGCTCTTCTCCACAGCAGAGCTGGTCTTGGAAGTCTCTAACTCTTGTTCATAGTCAAGGGCAATATAGGCCAGCTTCTCTTTCACATCTCTCACAATTTCCCGCTCTGCTGAGGTGGTAAATGAATACCCACGTTCAGTCAGAATTTTCATCATGTATTCAGTAAGGTCACGACCAGCCAGGTCAAGACGAAGGATGGCATGTGGGAGAGCATAACCCTCATAGATGGGGACTGTGTGGCTGACACCATCACCAGAGTCCAACACGATACCTACAGAGAAACAACAAACAGATTTAAGACAAACAACCACAATTATACTCGTTCAGATATAGGGAAGTTTGACATTCCAGCAGCATGTTAAGTGAAATCATATAGAACTACAGCAATAAACTCAAGTCTTATCCTCAGTTTCAGAATAATGGCAGAAACAAAATTAATGCATTTTAGATGCTGTGAAGACTCAAGACTGACACACCTTACTCCGAACTATAGCAGTCCTATTCCAATTGTTTGGAAATTACCAAGATACTTATTTTATAACAGAACTAGATAGGTGGACCCCATACATTACAGAGTCTAAGGATGAGTCACACTGTTCATAAATTGTGAATAGTGGCCTAGTGCAGCTTCTTGAAGATTTATTTTACATTGATGCAGTAGATCAGAAATATAAACTAATAATATGGGAGGATTGCATATAGGTCCTGGGTAAGGAAACTAATTAGATACAAGTCTCATTTACTTGTAAATATTGAAGTTTAGCATGTAAATATAAAAGTTTGACTTGCCAATGGACTGAAGAAATAATTAATTTCCTTATTTGGGACCTGATGGTAATTCTCCATTATAATATTACCATTATAGATTACCTTCATTAACACAAAAAGGCTATAAATGAATGAATAATGGGGAAGGATACAATTATAAACCCTTCAATTTTAGGATTAGAGGCGTTAAAACTGGGGAGTTGAGCAAGAAGCGCAGAAACCATCCTAATCCACACAATAATAATTTAAAAGCATATAGATGATGTTTATGTCTCTTTATTTTTTCTCACCAAAATCCCAAAATAAATAAAATTTAAGAAAATATAAAAACTCAAGTTCAAACAAAGGCTTAAACCACATCAAACAATTAATAGAATCACTTACCAGTAGTACGACCACTTGCATATAGTGAGAGAACAGCTTGAATTGCTACATACATAGCAGGGGTATTAAAAGTCTCAAACATGATTTGAGTCATCTTCTCACGATTGGCCTTGGGATTAAGAGGAGCCTCAGTTAGCAAAACTGGATGCTCTTCTGGGGCAACACGAAGCTCATTATAGAAGGTGTGATGCCATATCTTTTCCATATCATCCCAATTGCTGACAATTCCGTGCTCAATAGGGTACTTGAGGGTCAGAATACCCCTCTTAGACTGTGCCTCATCACCAACATATGCGTCCTTCTGGCCCATGCCAACCATCACACCAGTGTGACGAGGACGACCTACAATGCTGGGAAACACAGCACGTGGGGCATCATCTCCTGCAAATCCAGCCTGAAAAAGTACACTGCAATCAGCTTCACCAAATAACAGCAAATATATAACAGCTCCGCAGAAGAAAATAGTGTGAAAATTCTAAGTTATCCCAATATGGGGGAAAAAAACTGACAAACTGACAATATAATAAGACCCATCAGTACCTTAACCATTCCTGTTCCATTGTCACAAACGAGAGGTTGAATATCCTCAGCTTCTGCCATCTTCTATTACCTATTGGATCAAATAACCCAGTCAGTACAAACCTATCAATTCTGTAAAATGAAACCATTAATATAGAGGTGGCAAGGGGTGAGCTCAAAATGACGTGGAAGGAAAACCCAAAATAAAAACAAACATCAATGATAATATTGCTTTTCAAATTTATTTATAGGAAAAAAAAATCTTTCATGAGAAGTAACCTAAATCAACATGAAGTATTTATTGATAATATAGATGATTAAACTACACACATTGTAGAATTCAGTTTCATATCCTACAACAGAAAAGCTGCTCAAAAGTTATCAACAGACTGATGATCAGGAATAGATAGGCAAGAGAGAAAACAATTACAAACAAGATATTGGCGAGGAAGTGTAAGGGAACACGGGAGAAATAGACACCAGAAGCAACGCTAAATATATCACGATTACATGACACCAAATTCATCCCAGAGACAAACAACCCACAACATCTCACTAAAGATAACCAAAAGTATTTTCCAGAGAAGGGGAACACAAACCTCCAAGGAAAAAGAAAACAACCAGTTAATTAGTCACCCGCACCATGAACTATAATGATGACAATGATTCAAAGGCGGGTAAGGGATCATTGAAATAGTGTATATGGCTACCATTTTTCACATTTCCTACTCAATTTGATCATCTGATTGGGAGGTTGACACATCTTACTTTCATTTTCAAATTTAAAATGCCAATCCATGTTTGCATTATATGTTCGGTCAACATCTAACAACCAGAATTATTAAATACAGATCGGATTCTTCTCTCCAGTCAACAAGAACAATTTTCCATGAACCTATACTCTTCACATGATAGATCCAAACCCTTGACCAGAAATATCAAACTCGCTTAACAAAAAGACCAGAGAACATAAGCAAGTAAACAAACGCGCCAAGTAAAATCCAGCACTCAGCCAGCAACTACAATTAAATCCCAGATCGACGAATTAAAAACTACAACCGAAGGTAAATCATTTTAAGATTAAATCCCACTCTGCAAAACAACAAAAGAAGACGGAAAGTATCCATTTTAAGATTAAATCAAAGCGGGGAATTGGAACAAATAACGGATCCATGAAGAACTGAAAAGCAGGGAACAGATCTAAAAGAAGAAGAAAAAGAAGAAGGAGTAGACCTTGAAATTGCCGAGGGGGGAATGGGGATGGAGAAGGCGAGCGATAGAGAGAGAGGGTTGGTAGAGGGAGAAGAGACTCCTGTAAGGAGACGAAATCAATGAGAAGAGAAGGAATTTAAAAGACAAGGAGAAGCAAGGAGGACCGTTGGATTAAGAGGAAGGAGATTTTGTGATTCAAATTGAGAAGAAAGAGAGGAAAAGAAGGCGTCCATTAATTTTGGATGGCATGGGCTTTCCTGGCCACAGGTCCCTCCTCCTTCCCTCTTTTCCACACTTTTTTTGTTTCTGATTTTTCATTATTTTTACCTTTTTTTAAAAAAATTGAATGAAAAAATTTTCTATGAGTGAACCAGACATTAGTTAAGATAAATCATGATTTCTTTTTTTTTTTAATTTCTTCGTCCACTATTCTGAGAAATAGGGAATATTACTATACCAAAACTAATTCAATGGTTTTTATCAACAACAATTTCATGGGTGCCTTAAAATAACTTGACTCAAACACATGATTATCGAGTAAACTAGCTTAACTCCCTCAACGAATCGAATCAAGCACCTCTTAAATATATTGTTAGTATCTATGGCACATTGGTATTAAACCCTCCCTATGAAGAGAGGTTGCTTGTCCAAATCTTAAGTGTTAGAATAGTGTATGTGGTTGGAGGGTGAATTGTACATTTGTCTTCATTTCTCATAGAAAAAGGTTAGGATAGGTGTATTAAAAAATTATAAGAAAAATAATATTTTATAATATGTTTAGTTGAAAAGAAGGAGGGGGGAGGGAGCCCCCAATTTAAGGGAGAGGTTTTGGATGGGGAGCCCCTCCTCTCCACTTTGCCAAACAAAAGGTGGGAAGTCCCTCTCCTCCCTTTGTCCCATCCAAATATAAGGAGGGGAGGGGCTTTTCCCTCCAACCAAACAAATGGTTAGTCTCTGCTATTGTTGAAAGATGAATTGTGTAAATGTCTCCCTTTTTTATAGAAAAAGATTAGGATAGGCATATAAAAAAATTATAAAGAAAGCATTACTTTTAGTTCTTGCACTTTGTTTAGATTTTGATATAGATTCTTGTATTTTTTTTCATTATTTCAAGTCTTTACACTTTTCTCCATCTATAACATTGGTCCTATATTTTCATAGGAAAGTTAATGTGGCATAAATAACGTTAATAATACTAACATGGTAATTAACACCATTAATTTTGTGCTTACATGTCAAATTGATATTGACATGAATTTTTTAATAAGCAAACATAAAAAAAGCCTAAATCAGATGAAATAAAAAAGCTGATCTAGATTTTAAATGATCAGCATCAAGACCCCACGACCCCATCATGTTGGATAAGACTGTCAAGCAATGCTAGAGATAGTCAAAAGTGGTGAAGAATCAACAAATTGCGATGAAATGCCAACTATCTTTTTTGAAATCCACTCATAATAAGCCATCTTCCCACTAATAGATAGCCTACATGTGTGTTTAGATTGAAATATATTTAAATAATATGTCAATTGATCATCGACTTTACTCACAAGATTAATCAACCATTTGCATTCCTTTTATGCACTTAACTTGACACATCACCTTATCATTCTTAATAAATTCTAGTTCATATCCATTAAGCAAATCATATTCTATTAATGCATCCTTAAATTGACCAAATGAAGTGAACTTCATGCCTAACTTGAATTAAAATTCTTTACATGTCCTAGAAGGATTATAATTTTCACACTTACCTTTAGGCACATTCTCATCTTCATTATCACTAGAGAGTTGCTCTTCATGAAGCTCATCATATTCATAATCATATAACAAACTGAATATCTTCTCCTTTGTAACCTCAGGTAAGTTCCTATTCTCAACTAATTGAGTAGGTGGAGCTCTCATTAACTTTGAACTACCTATACCTTCATCTAATATATCACCAACACTAACATCAACATATTGGTTAAAATCATTATCATCAATATTATCAAAGTAACTAGTATCTATATCTAACAAATTCACAGCCCTACTACCCTTCCCTTCACAACTATCACTATGTTCATTCTCCCCAAGTATACCTTGCAACAAATTAGAAAAGTTCTAATTAGAAAAGGATAACAAAAGATAGAGCTATAAAAAAATAGAGCAAGTGTATAAGTAGAAGGATAACAGACATGTATAACAAATGCAGACCATATACGAGTTTAATGAAAGCCTATAGACAAGTTTAATGAGGATAACAGAGTTTAGTGTATGATCATTCTCATAAAATAGAACTTACAAAGAATAGAACTTACAAAGAATAGAACTTAATGAGGATAATATAATATAGAAGAGTTTAATCAAGGAATAGAACTTAAAATAGAACGAGTAACTGTACCATTATTGATGACACATCAAATGCCGAAGTTTTCCCCATCCGACCACTATTTGATGACTATTTACTAGCAGCAACTATTCCAGTACCATTGAACACTCTTTTCTGGCATCCACCAAGGCTTTTTCAGTGTTGTTGTTATGGGGTCCTAAGGTCCTGATTATGGTGGGGGGATTTTGTGCCCTAGAAAATAAGGGTTTAGGTCTTTTTAATTTGTGCATTTTGCTACTGATTTAAAGAGTTCAGCTGTCCAATGTAGCCTTTTCATTTCATCTAATGTAGGCTTTTTTTAATTTTTTTCTTATTAAAAAAAATCTATGTTAGCATTAGTTTAGGTAAGCACAAAATTAACAGTGTTAATAAATATATCAGCATTATTAACATTGTTTGTGCCATGTTAATATCCCTTTGAAAATGAAGCGACTAGTGTTACAAATGGAGAAAAGTGTAAGGACCTGAAATATAAAAAAAAAAATACAAGGATCTATACCAAAACTCAAATAAAGTGCAAGGATTAAAAACAGTATTTTACTACTCATAAAATAGCATGTTAATATAGGTGTTTATTAGATAAATTGATTATTTAAATTAATAATACTAATATAATAGGTTTAAAAATTTGTCATTTGAGATTGACTAGAGGTAAGATATAGGTTAAGATTTTAAATTCAGATTTTTCTAATAATTGAACAAAATGAATTTAAAGATTTGGTGACAAATGGTTTTAAGTGAAACTATGAACCTCACCAAAATATACTAAGGAACATCGTTTAACGTATGCTTAGATGGAGAGAGAAATAGATAGAATAGAAAATTAGGTGGGGAAACATGACCCACAAGGTTTAGATAACAAGAAAGTATGGTAAGGAAAAAATTGGAGGTAAGAAATAAAAAAATAGACACAAGACATAAGGCCTACATATTTTCTATGTAGGTATTATTATAAAATTAGTTACTTTTTTATGTTTTCTCCTTATTAAATATAACAAGAAAAAAATATATATTTTTCTTGTTTCATTTTTGAAAAATTATTCTTTTAATTCTTCAACTTTTACCTTAATTATAATTTAATTTTTCAAGTTTAACTTATTGTGATTCAGTCCTTGAAGCTTGATTCATTTAAAAATTCAAGGGAGAATGATAGAGAGGTCCTAAAAGGATCAATTAATTCAAGTTAGGTTCTAAGTGTTAAATTTTAAGAATTTATAACTCAATATCTTAATTTTACCATTCTGTTGTGATGAATTTGTAACTTATATTCCAAATTTTAACAAAAAAAATAATTTTTTATTCTTCAACCATGTTAAAATTTGAAAAATAAGTTGCAAATTCATTATAACACAGTTGCAAAATTGAGAGATTGAGTTGTAAATTTTTAAAGTTTGGCACTTGAGACCTAACATAAATTAATTAATCCTTTTAGGACCTTTTTGTCATTCTCCCAAAATTCAATCCTTCCCATTACTAAACTAGACTAATGTTTCCCATGTGTCAAAAACAATAGTACTTACATGGCAATGTGTTAAAAAATAAAAATAAAACAGCCCCTAAAATTAAAAATATAAAATCTAAAATATGAAATTACATGGTAAGAACTCTACTTCCTAGTTCCTTGGCAAATGATTCCACACTCACCACCATCCTCTTTTTCAATTTTTGTTGATATAAATCTAGAAATCTTAAGCATTTCATTTTTTTAAATGAAAGGAATGTATTCAAAATCAAAAGAGATTACATTAAGATATACAAGAATACTCTTAGAATAAAGGTGGGGGTAATCAAAGGTATAAAAACTAACATCCAATCTATGAGCAAGCTTAGCAAAATAATCAGCATAGGTATTAGAGTCGCTACTAACATGATGAAAAAATAGACTCCAATTCTTGTGAAATAAAAAGCAAACATCCTTAATTACATTCAAAAAACGGCGTGAGTTCTCACCTCCTTTAGTAATTAGATTAATAGTATCAATATAAACACAAAAAATATCAACAGTATGCAAATTGATATCCTAATAAAGAAGCAATTCATGAATGATAGCAAGTAATTCTACAATCATAGGTGAAACATTAGTAAGTTTGTAGCTAAAACCTTTGATCCAATTACCTTAAGGGTCCCAAATGCTTCCACCCATCCACTACTACCATTCAACAGCATTGACCCATCTACTTTGAGTTTAGTAGCATCACTTCTACTTGTATCTCTATCTCTGATGTGTTATCTCTTATAAATCAATGAAGTTGCAAGCCTATTAAAATCTAGATCTACACAAGCTCTAAAGAAACTAGAGCACACAAATTGTTAGTCAATTACAATTGCTATATTAATTTTTTTTTTTACATCTATCAGCCTAAAGATCATAATAAATGTAACCAAAGAGGGGCATCCAATCTATTTTCTTATTAAAACTCATACCCGCTACATGATTAGTTCCATTTCAACCATTCCACCCCATTCAAGGTAGTAAAGGTATTTTAGTTCTCTTCTTTGACTACTACTTTCCATTTCTTCTAGGCATTTAGACAATCTCAGATAAGATGCATCGACAATTGCCTTACACCCAAAAGGGCAATTCCCCTTGGTTGCAAGACCTCTCCTCTACCTCAATTTGAATGTGTGGGTTCTTCCATTAGCAAACAGCCACATAAAGGATTTATTTTTTTTTTCATTACTAACCATCTCCAAATCATCTTCTAGATACTATCAATACTTCTTCTCATACTTGCAAACAAAAAA